GTTTCCTTTCTCCCCACCCCATTTCTTTCCTCCAAAATGATCTCCATTCTTTAGTAGTATTGATGATAAGGCAGAAGAAGTCATTTTCCTCAACTCAGAGAGCTTGTATGAAAATATAATCATTACTCAATGCTAAACAAATTTCTATGCAATCCAGAAAGGTCAGCAATCTATCTGTGATTGATTTCCAAATGCTTGTGTCTTGACCCAGGTTGCACATACTGGTCCAGCTCAGGGGGAGGAAGAGTACTAATCTTACCTTGTCTCTGCCCAACCACATTATCATCAACGGGGACTTCACCTAGAAGCATGATATTGGTGTAAAATAACTTGTCTTCAATCACTCAGGTGTCTGCTAAGTTAGAATCAGGATCTGAGTCCAGGTAAATTGGCTTCTGAGCTCGGGTTCTTAACTGCTACACTCTAGGTCTGGTAAAAGATAAAGAGGTGTAGGCGGGAAGACATGCCTGTCATTCTCATGGTGTCCAGATCTTATCCTGCAGTCTGTGCCAGCAACTTGAGCCTTGGTCTCATGCTCTAGTTTCAGAGCGTAGGGGGCAGGGGAGTGGAAAGTGGAACAGCCAAGTACTTGCCAGTCATTGCTGGCAACAACGCCCTCACCCCGTGAAAGTTCTCACTGGAAGCAGGAGCCCTTTGGGTAGGGAGAGTCTCCCTAGACAATTACCATGCTCTTTGTCACCTTGTGGAAAGTTTATAGAAGACTTATTGTGACTTTATTGACTCTACCTTGGCTAATGACTATTTTGTCAGAAATTGATGATTATGCGCTGAGCTTCTTGATCTCCATATGGACATCCATTAACCCACATACAATTGTTGAGCTGACAGTAATACTAGCTTAAGCCCTGGGGTCCCTTCATGGCTCAGTTTGAGTATTCAGGAGAACAAAATAACGTACAGGTTCTGATTCCTCTTTATTTATTTTGTAGTATTTCCTTAATGATCTGGTACACTTTTGCACAAGCTATGTGCCCTACACCATGGAATAGAAAGACACACATTCCCTTTTATAAAAATAATTCACAATAGTATCTGCCAGTTTTTAGAACTCTGTGCCAAAAACATGAATGTGTATTTTAATTTCCATTCAGCCTGCCCAGCAACAAGGTAGGGACTATGATCCAAGCTTACAGATGAGTGAAGTGAGAATCCGAAAAGGAAATTAGTTTTCCTGAGGTCACACAACTAGCAAGTGGTAGAACCCAGTGCACACCAGATCTTCCCTCTCCAGAGCCCTGAATCCTAACCACTCTGCTATTTTGCATCAGTCCTATTTTCATACCCCATGTCCTTTATGCACAGCCAGAAAATAGGACCATGTTCTGCTCTCATAAAACCATAGTTACAGTTTTTGGAGGATGACATCATCTACCTTTGATCTGATTGAGTACTCAAAATCCTCTATAGCAATTAGCTTAACTCAAAGTGGTTTTCCTCTTCTAATGAAATCTTGGTCATTATTGGGCACTAATTCTAGATGGAGCAAAATTCCATGACCTCAATATTTGACTCCAGAGAAGAGTCAAAAATTATTTTCTAAGAATTTGGACCTAGTCTGACAATAAATAATGTGTACTATTGGTTCTGCCACTTAACTATTATTTTGAGCATGTTACCAAATCTCTCTGTGACTTAGTTTCCTCAACTGTAAAATGTCAATAATGGTAGGGATGCCTGTCTGTACTGAAAAACATTTAGAATATTGTTCTAATTACAGTGGCTCCCTGAATGCTCCCCACCCACAAAATATACATAGAGCTCTCAGCAGCTTTGTATGAACAGTAGGGGAGATGCCTAGCTCAAACTGGGCCAACCAAATTCTCTCCTTCCTCATTCTGGTGATCACTTTCCTCCCACTGCATGGCTTGAAAAACAGAAAGAAGCTCAGCAGAGAGTGAAAGATTAAATAGATGTGAAAGTAAAACAGAAATATCCCCCTTGCATCTTCATACTAAGTTCTCCTTTTTGGCATTTGGAGTCTTACCTGACAAACCACCTCACTATCTTGTTGGGAGTGAAAAAAACACAAGAACATCTGTGAAGAGTTTAACCTAGAATAAAGTGAGCATTAATGGATTGTTACACCCTTGGCTCACATCTGGGATGGGCTTTTATTCAGACATAGGTCTTGTTAGGCTTCTTAGTTGATACAAGAGAAAAAAAAATCTTGAGGTGCTATAGACCAAGAAATGTCTATTTAACCACAGTTAAATGTTTGCTTAACTGGCAGCATAAACTAGCTGCAGTACAGTTAAATCCAGGTAGGACAGTCATGCATCAACAACTGGGGAATGGTTTGGGGGTTGCTGATTCTTTCTAGGGTAGGTGGAAAGCTCAGTCATTTGTGCGAATGCAAGTGGGATTTCTCTTGGTAGTCTTGGGTGACATTTGGTTTGCACTTCAAATTTATGTGAACAATAGTCTCTGTCTTTTATACCAACATGGTTTCTGGAGAATGTGTGTTTACTCTATCTCCTTCCTCAGAGTAGAAGCTCCATGAAAGCAAGTGCCAAGCTTGTCCTGCTCCCACCACATTCCCAGCATTTAGCACAGGTTGTGGCACACAGTAGGACATAAAGAGTATTTCTGAAAAAATGAATGCAGTTTTTCATTCACTGATATTAATACTCGCCTACAATCACATATCCTGCAAGTGACCTCAGGGCAGGATTCAGATGGAAGCATGTTCAGCTCCAAAGCTGTCCTTCCTGCCAGTTGTGTCTTTCTGAAACTTCTACTCTGACAACTTATGGTATCTATGCAGACCCATCGTCTCTCTTGCTCCCCAAATCCCACCCACTCTACCATTGTTCTGTTGACCCCAGTATTTAACCAAAATCCCCCTTCATTTCTTTCTCTTTTTCTAACATGTGTTCATTTAATAATTACTGAGAATAATATATACCCATCACTGAGTACTAAAGACAAAAGATAAATAAGACCCCATTCAGCCATCAAGATTTTCAAGGAAGAGAAATGTAAAATAATAATAATAATAATAGTAATTAAGTCTAATATTCATGATAAGAACTATGACAAATGCCAAGAGAAAGTTATTCTCCCAGGTGTTGGAGTTGAGAAAAGTTTCAGACATTACATTTGGGGCTAAAAATTGATAGAATAAAAATGATTTGGACATACAGAGAAGAAAGGAAATTCAAGTTCAAAGAACAGCCTGGATGTGTTAGTAAAGCGTGTTGTACTAGGCAAGGTGCAGCAACCAGTCCAGGAACAGTGGGGAGTGTGTGCGAAGCAAGAGAGGAGGCAAGCAGGCAGGCTGGGAGCCATTTCCAAGGCTCTGAAGGTCCCACTTGGCTCTGAGCAACCTACAGGGCCAAATAAGCACATGCTTAGGACATCCAATTGAAATCAGATGGAGACATTCCCCCCCAAAAAAATTAGCTTAATTTCAACATACTGTGTAATTTCAAAAGAATATTTCTATTTCAAGTTTTAGTATTTTAAAAAATCTGGATTACAGGGCTGGGGTTGTGGCTCAGCGGTACAGCGCTCGCCTGGCATGCGCGAGGCCCTGGGTTTGATCCTCAACACCACATAAAAATAAATAAATAAACAAAATAAAGGTATTGTGTCTAACCAAAAAATAAATATTAAAAAAATCTGGATTACATATGGAGATATCATCATAACTTTATCAGTGTTTAGGGTCTCTAAAGGTATTTATCAGGCTTTAGTCCTGTTAGAAAAATTAAATACTAATTAACCTCAGTTTTGAGCTAGGCAAAATTGAGTAAAGACAGTTTGCAAACTGCTTTATGCATGGTCTATAACTGTACCTCTTAACTCTCTCAAATACTAGTGATTTATGAGGTCAATTGTTTACCCAAAGGACCACCAGCTGGCAACATTTCAGGAACTGTGACAAATGAACTGTAATAGGAAAGGTCTTTTCCTGTAGTCCCAGAATTAGGAACCCAGTAAAACATCAAATACCCTACTTTCTAAACTGAAGTCAACCATCTCCCCCAGGAACCTATAAAGAGGCTGCAGACTGATCCTGCTACCTCTAACCAGCCCAAACATCTTCTTTATCTTACATTAATATATCTTGTGAGACACAATTCATGGCCAAAGTTGTACATGCCCTCCCCACCCCCTAGAATCACTGGGGAAGGAAAAGAGTATTTTAGAAAATCACTCATCTAGATCAGAAGTTTCTGCAAGAAGGAGGAAATGAAATCTCACTCCTTAAGCTGGTTGGTTTCTACACCCCATCCCACCTCCCACTCCAGGACTGCAGGATGAGAGGCACCCTAGGAGAGTAACATGTATATAGGAAATTTGGGGTCTCAAACATGAAATACCCTACTTTCTAAACAAGGCAAAGTGGAACTCTATCTCAAGAAAATGACATATATTCAGGCAAAGACCATTGTACCTGCCAGGTGCCCAGCAGCAGAAAGCATTAGATGAAGGCAGAGGGAGAATAAGGTAGCCCACTGTGTCACCAGCAGGGATAGGGAAGCATCTCTGATAGCTCCCCATGCTCTCAATTATAGAGGTGAAAGTTGGGAGCAGGGAGGGGAGACGTGCAAGAGCAGATGGCACCCTTGCTACCTGGTACCCAGCTCCTAGATTGGAATTTCTCTGGACATACTCAACACACGTAGTACATACCTGGCCCACAGCAGATATTTAATACTAATATTGAAGATGAAAAATTGAATGAAGGTTAGTAATGAAGGTTAGTGCCCATCTTCCCACCCCACCCACCCCACCCTAGCTTTCCCAGTTTAGGAGTCCTATTTGTTGGGTAGAGGAGGGTGTTCCCTTGGCACAGAAGCTTGTTTAAGTAACATGGTGTTTCCTGGGTCAGGTATGGTGTGGTCTCCCAAAACACCAGTTTCTGGGCAGGGCTTTGGTTTCCACGGTCCATAGGCCCTGGTTGCATGCCAGCTCAGTGGGTGGAAGGGTATAAATCTCAGCTACTCTTGAGCCCTGCCACATGTGCACCTAAGACTTCCAACAGCAACATGAAGTTGGGAGGCTTCCTTCTCCTTGTGGCACTCATCTTCCTCAGCCTTGAGTTACAGGAGCTTCAGGCTGCGGTGAGACCATTGCAACTTTTGGGTGAGTCCAGCCAGAAAGTGGCCCTATTCTTCAAATGAAAACTCTAGAACGTAGAATTTCAGGTACCAGTGTGTGCAGGAGGAATGGGGAGAAGGAGGAAAGATTCTCCTTAAACAGACATTGAAAGGACCCCCCACACACACACACACACACACTTTGGTGGCCACCACGCAGCTTCCCTGAGCAGGAGTTCTCTCCTGCCCCTGCTTTCTCTCTCTCTTTCTCCCGGTTCATTCTGCCATCTGGACTCTCTGTTCTTCTCCTTCTGTCCCCTCATCAGCCATCCTCCATCTCCCTCTTCACTAGCTTCTTTCTTGAATTATCTGGAGAAAATATTTGCTTTAGCATGCTAAACATGAACCATCACGACTTCTTCTCCCTTTACCACCACCATTTTCAAAGGAGTATTCTTAATTCTCTGTAACTTGGTTCCTAACAGTTTGAAGAGAATAATGGCTTCAGGAGAATAATGGGGGCATGAATCCAGGCTGTGGATTCCTGCCGCCATTATTCTCCTGAAGCTTCTCCCCGTGGTCCCCTTGACAAATCCCCTGACTTCTCAATTGCAAAGTCTTCAACCTCCACAGCATCTACTATTCTTTGCCCTCCTTTAGTCCTCAAGCTTTCTTCTCTCCTTGATTATCTTTCACTGTATCTTATTCTTCTCCCTAAATATTAGAGGATTCAATTTACTCCTCTCTCTTCTTTGCTCTTTTCCCCCCACCCCATCCCATTTTGGTTCATTCTTTGAAACTGTTTCTTCACCTGCTCCTTCAACTCTCGCTGCCCCACTGTTTCTGGCCTGATTGCTCCATCTCAACAGCTTCTAACACCTTTCCCTAACTCTAGAGTTTTCCTTTTGCAGTTTGCATGGCTGTTAAATCCTGCTCCATCCTATTCTCCCACACCAGAATGATCCTCCCAAGTGAATAGCCTCTCTTGGCCTATCAAATGAAATCCCAAGTCCACAGGTCCTGGACATCTGCCTGCCTTTTTTTGTTTGTTTGTCCCCTGCTTCCATTTCCTGCTTAGCTTCCAGCTACTCATAATACTTATGCAGACTTCCAATTGCCATTCCTCCTGGATTCCTCTTATTCCAGGGTGGGGAGTGAGACCGATGAGGTGCCTAGGGTTCAAGATTTAAAGCTGCACTAGATCGCAAGGTTGTGCACAAGTTCCTCCTTAAGTTTTGGACGCTATGCACGTCACTGACCTCCCCCTCACTCCAACCCGGTTGCATTTTTCCATTGTGAATTTTTGCTAGTAATTCTTTTCTCACAACACTCCACCTGCCTCCTCCCACTAATTCTGCCTTCAAAATATCCCTGCTCTTCAAGATTCACCTTTTACAATTACTCTAATTGGAAGTAATGACTTACTTCCTCTGAGTCCCCTGAGTCCTCTGGATCTACCTCTCTTGGGACACTTGTGAAATATTGTTGGGTTTTGTTTTTTTTTAACATTTAAAAAAATTTTTTTTAAATTGTAGACGGGCACACTACCTTTGTTTTATCTATCTATCTATCTATCTATCTATCTATCTATCTATCTATCTATTTTACGTGGTGCTGGGGATCCAACCCAGTGCTTCACATGTGCTAGGCTAGTGCTCTACCACTGAGCCACAACCAGTCCTGCTACTTTATTTTTAGTACTTGGAATGTAAGTCTTATCTCAACTGTTAGATTCCGAGCTGCTTGTCTTACATCTCTATATTTCCTGAATAACTTCCTCTATGCTTGATATATAATAAGAAATCAACAGTAAGTACTTATGAGTGACTAAACTGCCATCAGTGGGGACAAGGGATCTTTGATGTCCTCACAACAAATCAACAACAGCTACTGGGAACATGGAGGGATCACACTAATTCCTATAAAGTACATCATAGACATCCCCCAGGGCCCTTGTTACACCCCTCAGATACTGCTAGTCAATCATGGCACTCTTTTCTCTCTGAACATGGATATGGCATCTGAGCCTGGTCAGCACAGTACCAAAGAGCCACCTCCATTGATTGGAGTTCACAATGGAGAATGAGCTTTATTTTTTCCAGCTAGATCTAAGGGCCCCATTTTACAGAGGAGGAAACAAAGGCCAAGAGAAGTCCAGAGATAGAATCAGGTAGAGCAATTCCTGAAAACAGCTAAGTAGCCAATCTAGGCACAGCATACATTCATCTACAGCACTGCATGATACTTTGCTAGAAGCCCCTGTGAGATCTTAACCAGATCTTTAGTCCTACTTCATTGGTTCCAAAAACCAATCTTGAAACTCTGGGAACTTGGGGACTCTCCACTCAGGTCAAGAGTGACTCCTTGAAATTTAGAGATGTACTCTTCATGTCAGGTCAATTTCACCATGTGGGCCAGCAGAAGGCCGAGGGACCAGGCAGGTCAGGGGTGAATCCCACTTCTGTATCTATTAGCAGGCAAGTCACATCTGTGAACCCCAGCTGCAAAAACCTATAAAATGGGGATAGTTAGACTCATCGCACAAGGTGACTGCAGGGGACCCTTGAAGATAGTCAGTAAATGTGAGTCTCCCCTTCCTTGCAGTGTGGGGAAGTAAGGACATTCAGGGGGCCTCTTTGCACTTACCCTCCACAAACACAAACACTTTCTCCCCATCTCTAAGGTAGGCTTTCCTTTTGAGGTTATTTAACTGAGATATACAATACGTTAATGAGTATTAGTCTGCCAGTAATCATTTATAAATTATAATACTAAATTGAAAGAAAGAAGTGGAACTTCTTCCTTAATCCTGGACTGTCATCCCCAGTGCTTAAGCCTCAGGCACAGTGGTTTTCAGCTGGTCTGTTCTAACTTAGGGGCCTGTGCTGAGCTCTGCAGAGGTGACTGGGACTGTGGACCAGGGGAGCACTGTGTCAGCACCGGGTGTGGACATGATTGTGCTTCTGACTAAACACAGGTAAAAACATCCTGCTTCCCCAAACTTGCCCTACCCGGGCAGGTTGTACACATGGCTCCCTTTTAGACTTTCCAAAATTGGATGCGACAGAAGCCTGTCTTCTAGTAGCCTTTCCCTCTTCACCCCCAATAAAAGATGTATCCCATCACAAGATAGTGATTTCCAAACTTTTAAAATAATTTCCTTACCCGGTATATCCTGGGGAAAAAAAAATCAGGCTATTTTTTTTAGGAAAAAAAAAGAAGATAAAAATAACCCATAATCCCACAACCCCAAAAAATGTCTGCTTAACATGATGATGCATATTTTAAACATAAATATATAATATGTATTTTAAAATGAGAATCTTGTACCTATTTCAATTTCTCAATTATTTGACTTAAAAATCACTAGTGAAAAATTTTAGTATTAAAAGTGAGTCTTCCATTCCATCATCTCTACTGGCATTAAGCCCATCATATATGCTCATGTACTTGGTAACCTCTAAGATAGCTCTTATTTTTATAATATTAATATGACTATAATGAATAGTAAATTAAACATGCCTGTATTAATTCTCTTGGGGTAAATTCTAAGAAGCATAATTATTGACCAAGTATAATTATTGACCATTTGATAGATATTGTCTTGTTGACCTATAAGCATCCCTCTCCTATAAAAGATATTTCAGGGGATACATGTGGTAGTTTCTTTATTTTCAGTAGCTATTAATTGAAGAAAGTATAGTAAAAAGCCACCATGATTCAGTTTTGATTATAAATTAAGTTGTACTAAACACAATAGAATCAGTATACATTTTTAAAACAAACCATTTGTCTTCAAAACATATTACTTGCCCAATCCACCTGCAATCCTTGGAATGCTCAGGACCTTGCTGGCCACTTGCAGCTGCTATGGATTTTCAGAATTGTATTCTGTGGATCCAGGTCCCCAAAAGAGTAGGTCTCACATATAAATTTTTTGTCCATTTCTCAAAGAGTTATCTTAAGGGCCATCTTCTCTAATAACTGCTCATCTCTTCCTGTAGTTTCTGCCTGCAATGATGGGACTGTCTGGAGATTCTTGACTGGAAAGAGAAATGAAAATCAGGACCTATGGATGGAGACTACAAGTAGTATGGAGGAAGGGAAGAGGAGGTGTTTGTTTCAATAAATAATCACTTTAAAAGCATCCACACTACTTGAGTTATTTGGTGAGAGGTGGCAGTGAAGATGAGGAAGGTGAGGAGGAAGATACATGACATTTGTTGAATATTTTCAATGCGACAAGGAATATGTTAAATTCTTCACAAGCATTATCTAAGTTATTCTTTTTGTGGGGAGGGGGGAAATGCCAGGGATTGAACTAAGGGGCACTCAACCACTGAGCCACATCCCCAGCCCTATTTTATATTTTATTTAGAGACAGGATCTCACTGAGTTGCTTAGCACCTTACCATTGCTAAGGCTGGTTTTGAACTCGAGATCCTCCTGCCTCAGCCTCCTTACAAGCATATGCTACTATGCCCAACTTCTAAGTTATTCTTACAACAATCTTTTAACTATACTTATCATGACCATTTCATAAGTAAGAAAAGAGTTTGGGTAAATTTAGTAATTTGCATAAAATTAATTACATAATTTCATAAGATAGGTGTTGGGGCCTACACTTTTATCCTGTGTCAAACTCTGAGGGATAGGCATTATAACACAGTAATTAGAACCATCTACTCTGAATTTCAAACCAAGGCACACATGCAGCTGTGTGGCCTTCAGCAAATATCCTGACATTTTTGTGCTTCAGTTTCCTCATTAGTACAATAGTATAGACATCATAGACCTACAAAGAGTTTAGTTCTTGTACAGTGCTTGGCATAGTGCCTGACATAGTGGTCCCAACAGTTGGTTCCCCATATCCAAACAGGTTCTGAATCCATAGATTCAACCAGCTGCAGGATGAAAATATGTGGAACAAAAAAAAATTGTGCCTGCCACCAAATGTGCAGACCTTTTTTTCTTCTCATTATTCTTTAAACAATATAGTATAACAACTATTTACATGACATTTACATTGCAATAGATATTATGAGTAATCTAGAAATGACTTAAACTACATGGTAAGATGTCTGCAGGTGATATGCAAATACTATGCCATTTTATATAAGGGACTTGAGCCTTCTCAGATTTTGATATCCTCAGGGGAGTCCTAGAACCAATGAATCATGAACTCCAAGAGATAACTATATTCAATAAATGTTTACTACTATTACTATTATTATTTTTACCAAATAGATGGGCTGTTGACCCTTAATTTTACAAGAATCTAGAACAAGACACAAGGCCAATTCTCCTTCCCAGTCTCTAGTTTCTAGTTTTAATCTGGATACTGAAAGTCAGCCCCTCATTTCTGTTTTTCCCCCCATTACAAAAAATATGGGAGGTAAAAATGTCTAATAATTTCTTGTTTATGTTCTTCATAATCACAGACCTAAGACTTAGCTGGCCTAGGTTAAAGTCTGATTTTGACCAATGCTGTTAATGTGGAACTTGACAAACTATTTAAGCTTTCTAGCATCATTTCATTCACTATAAAGAGAGAAAATAATAATATCTCATCATTTGAATGCAAAATTTATAAAACTTCATAGTTTACAAAGCATTTTCATAAAAAGTGCCATCGCCCAATAGATGAAAACTAGAGGGCCCTGGATAAACAATTAAAACAGTGAATTTACTCATTTTATCAACAAGTATAGGTGTATGCCTACTGCATCCATGTGCTTGCTAGCACTGAATATACAATGGTCAATGACACAGACAAGATTTGTGCCTTCATGAAACTCACATTCTAGAAGAGGAAACAGATAACATGTAAATAAACAAACAAACAAAAACAATAACTACAGATTATCATAAATGTTCTGAAAAAATATACAAGGATGTGAACTAGAGTGGGGGTATGCAAGCTTGATTTACGTTGCAAATGTGAAAGAAATGCAATTCCAGAATAAGGTTCCACATCAGCCAATGAAGAAGTTAAAAGGGAAATGGCTATAAACTTGTTTAACACTCCTTACAGCTCCGCAATCACTCTAAGACTATTTAAATGTTGAGAGTACCAAGGATCAAAGATGTGTGAGGAAATTTTCTTGGGAGAGACTGTTAGTTTTCATAGTCTCAGAGTTGGGGGTGGGTGTTGGGGTGCTACTGTCTAACCTCAAGTCAATGAAATGGGCTTTCAAAAGTTTCCCTGAGAGCTTGATAAATTTTTCCTTCAGTTGCTGATCACCATGAAATAGGAATATTTATTTCTATCCACAAGGATATAATCTATCATGACTCAACAGATTGACATTGGTATACGTTACAATATCTGGGTCATTCAATATTAAATAACACTATATATGGGTAATCTATGTTGTAGCCTACTACAAACCCCTCTAAACCCAGATTATTCCCAGTCTCTTCACACCAACTCCAGTATGGTAAGGACCAGGCCTTACATCCTTCTATCCTAGTGTGTTGAACATCTCTTAAGCACTACTTCAAATACTTTTGGTCTTAAACGCTTAGAACCATACTTACAGCAATGATTTACCTCAGTAAACTATTTAGTAGTGGTTGTCAAATATAACTTGTCAGAACCTTGCCTCAAACATATACTCTATATCCCAAACCATCTCAGTTTTGCCTCAGGGCTGCTTTAACTATGCAACAGGAGACTCCTCTAGGAAACATTGCACATTGGTGCATGTTAACTACAGAGCTAATGCCTAGCCAGGTGATAATTGACAATATAGGTCAAAAGCTGGCAGATATATGCTTCTGTCCTCCATTCCTCAGGAGGGAGTTCTGAGAGCATTCCATAAGATTTCTCAGAAATTCCAGAGGATTGGGCTGGGGCTGTAGCTCAGTGGTAGAGCACTTGCCTCGAAGGTGTGAGACCCTGGGTTCAATTCTCAGCACCACATATAAATAAATAAGATACTGTGTCCATCTACAACTAAAAACAAAAAACTCCAAGGATTGAGTGATAAGAAACTTCATGCAATGCCCAACTCAATAGCATATATTTATATTGATTCTCCTTCCTTCCCTGTTTATTCCTGAATAGATGACTCACATACCAATCTTGTCTGAGGCTCTATTTTGAGGGAGTCCCAACTAAAACATCTAGAGACTAGTTTCAGCTTTTGATTTTCTCTGAGAAAATGCTTGAACAGTATCACAAATACACATGCATACATGCACATATATAACACTTATGTACACTTATTCCAAGAATGAACAATAATATACAAGCATAATGGAATCTAAATCCAAACAAAAAAAATAAACATTTTTCCCCAAAGAAGCTCAAATTCTTCAAAGAACTAGCTCTGCTAAAAAGCACATTCACAATTTTCAATGATGACCAGTGTTTTATTCTGAGGATAAAACATGTATATTCAGATGACTTCAAGATTTTTCCAGGAGCCAGAGGTGAAGATTTGTAGAACTCAAAAGTCCTAAAGATGCTTTTCTCAGTCTACCCAAATGTGAATGTCCAGTCTTCACCTCCTGGGTGACTGAAAACTGATCATTGTTTAAATGGCTATTTTACTTCCCATTCTCGCCTTCAAGCTTTCAGAAAATCTTGGGGTCTCCAATGCCAACTAGGTCACCCCCAGGCAGGTTATATTTTCTATAGTTCAATTTAAACTTCAAAATTACTTTCCTAGTGGTGAGAGGTGGCTCATGACCCATAAGAACACTCACTGTCAGAAGAGAAGCAAAGGGAACAAAGAAACAGTCAGCTGTCACCAAAGTACTGGAAAGCTGCCCTATATTTTATTGGCCAGATTTTAATCACATAGATAGAATCAATTGCAAGGAATACTGGGTAATGTAATCTTTAGTCAGGGTGCATTTGTGCTTGGGGAAAAATCAGGGGTTCTAACACGCTGTAAGAGGAGTAGAAGGACTTCTGAGAACCAGCAGTTTCCGCCATTGCCATTTACTGCAACCCTTCTCCAACTGCAGCCCTAATCTGAAATTCTAGTACTCAACAGGACTGTCAGCCCTGCCCAAAAACAAACTTTCTGAGAGGACAAATAGAGACTCCACTTTTCAGCCTGCGCTCAGAAGAGGTGGGCGGGCGAAATATTTTTAAGCTGATTTCAGACAGCACCTGCAGGTACCCGGCTGAAGGGTACAGCAGTCATGGAAACCTCTTCGTTGGCCTTTCTGGTCCATATTAGGCATTCCGGAACTAGATTGCGGAACCCGGGAATGCCCCGGAAGTATTTTCCAGGGGCCTTACGTAGGGAAGATGGCGGGGGTGCAAGTTGCCGGCTCGCCGTCGTGCGGGCAGCTACGAGAGGCGCCGCGGGAGCCGCCCCCTGAGCGGCACAATGGGTTCCGCCGGTTGTCGGCCAGGCTCCGCGCCCTGCGCCCGGATGACAACAGCTCCGCCCGCACCGAGATCCACCTGCTCTTTGACCAGCTCATTTCCGAGAACTACAGCGAGGGCGGCGGCGTGGCCGCAGAGGTAGGCGCCTCGCCTATGGGAGACCGGGAGCCGCGCTGTTGCCACGGCCCCACCCTCAGGGAACCCAGCTGGTAACTCCAGCCTGCCTCTCCTGGCTGTTCTCACCCAGCGCCCCGGATGACTTAAATCCAGGCTGGCTTGCTCCCTCCGATCCTGGCATATTCTCTGCTGTCCTCCGTCTGAAAGATTCTGCAGTGGTTGGCAAACTCTCATCTTTCAAAGCCCAGTTTGATGATTTCTGCTCTAACACCTCGCATCTGGCACCACCTTTCCATTCTCACGCTCCACTTTCATTCTATGCATACCAAACGCTTTTGTCAATTAAATTCATAACTACTGTTTATTTAATGTGTACTTTACCATGAACCATTCCAGGAATCTTAAAGTGTGCATAATTATTAGGTCGTTTTTTTGCCGATGGAAACATTGAAGTTCACAAAGATCCATTATCACGTTGTTGGCAAACAACAGCTAGAAGTGGAGCCTCAGTCTGTAACAAAGTCCCTGTATTTTCCGTTCTTCCTCTACCCCCTCTGCCTCCTCTTTAGAAGTTCTTTTCGCTATCCGAGAAATCTTTTTTATACACACCAAGTCTTGGATATCACTTAATAATTTTCTAAACACTTGAGCCACAGCCTTCTCATGCTCACAGGCAACTCAAG